TTCATGATGAAACAGCTTTTATCATAAAAACTGGATACCCTTCTGGGAAGATGAAAAATACGGTACTGCATATTAATCATATTATACCTAATATGTTTGCTTTTTTAATTTTAATTTAGACAAATTTAATTCTAGCTTATATTGAATTTCTTATTGCTAAACTATGATACTTGTTTTGTATACTTAAATTTAATACGTGAAATCGCGTAAATAATTTGATATTGTTAAATTCCATTTAGAATTCAAATTAAGCAAATTAATTAGTCACATACTTAGCAAATAAATGCTTCCGAATCTTGCAGAGAGTCCTCTAATAACTATATCCGACCTACAAATTTGAGTTAAGTAAGCCATTATAACATTATAAAAGTAAAAAATTAAAAACAAACGGCGTAATTACTAAAAAATTGCAAAGAAACTAAAATATGTAGACTTTATTTAATTATATTTGAATATGAACATTATTAATTATGACTATCACAAAAAAAAAATCAAAATTTTTAATGTTTATATCATACATATGCAATATACATGCACCTACTATGGAGTATGAACTAGCTAATTTATTTCCTTAGACCATAAGCTTTGTAAAAAATCATTCAGCCAGCGCACATTCCAAAGTTATGGAATTTTCGCTTTAATGTGTAAGTTCTTTATCAGTTATCAAATATTTATGACTATGAAAAATAAACATAACTATATGTCGTCTGAACAAATTTAATATGATAAATTATTTTATATGGCTGTCTCGATATTTTATCAATATGAATTTCATTTTTATAATAGAACTTAATAATGCCGATAATTAAAAAGAAAAAAGAACTATTTAATATAACTAATAGTTATATTTTATAATAATTAAGAAAAAATATACCTATATTAATTTTAACAAAATATATGATAACCTTTAAGAGATATAGAAGCAAGGGGTATTTAACCAAAAATGTATTATATATCAATTATTTTCTCATTTAACTTTTCGTAATAATATTACAATAATAATAAACCCATCATCAATTTATCGACCAAATAAATTGTATAATATCTATAATAATGGTTAATGAATTCTATCTATCATTGATATCCCTTAAATAGTTTTCGAAAGTTAATATTATAAACTATAAATACGAACCATGGCTATAACAGTTATATAATATTATAGTTACTATACTTTAATTGAAAACTACAGACACCTATTACGTAAGTTTTTTAACTTATTATAATAATATCAAAAGTAAAAACATTTTTAAAATAAAAGATCCATTATATTGGAGTTTAAACTTATAGATACGATATTTATAAACTATTTGCATTAATATGTAATCATCTTACTTCTATACTTGATACTTCCTAATTACCTATACTGATATACATATTGGCTATGATATTATAGAGATTATTTATTTTGAAATATATTACTTTTTATCGTACTTCAACTTACCTCGTATTTATTTTTATAATTACATAACTTAATTATTATTTGTCAATTGTCCTTATAAACAGTCATATTTTGTAGAAAGTTATTAAGCTATCACTATATCATATCTAGAAATATACAGACTACTAAGGGAAACTAATTCATAATGATAGTTAAATTCATTTTGCACACCTGTCTACAAATATATTATTCAAGTATTCAACAACAACGATGTAAAGCTTTATTCTACACGTGAGGAAAATAAACAATTAAAGCGATTAATTATGCATTTTAACTTTGGATAACCGTTGGGATTTTGTTTACATTTGAAAACACCTAACCTAAATTCTCATTATTTTAAAGTAGAAATTACATAAGAATTCAAACAATATAATATGTGTAGGTTTTATCTTTGATACATTAAGCAGAATTATAACAATTACAAATTTTCGATACATATTTGGTAGGTTATATACTGTTACACGTATATTCTAAAAAAGGTATAACGAAACGATCATGTTTAAATTTATTAAATTTTTTTATGATAGTTTAGTGATATCTTTACCAATAAATTATTTTTCTATAACTTAATTTTAATATAATATTTATTTATAATTTTAAATTGCGCTTTCATCAGATAATATAGTTAAAAAAATGTTTTTATACAAGGATTTGCATTTTGTGCAATGAGATAGTATTATAATACTATTATTAAGTTACATATCAAACGCACTTAATTAAAATCTAAATGTTATTATTAAAAATTATACTCTATTAAAATTAATATTATCTTTTTATATTTTATTTATCTTAGTTCTTATAAAATATTAATTATCAAACATTATTCTTAACTGCGTAAGAATCCTTTATGTATTTTTTAAGTGCAATATACAACCCCTTTAAAATCTTAAATATAACAAGTGCACAGTGTACTTCAATGTTACAGTTTCTTTATTCGTTTTTCTATTTTAGTTTTCATTAATTAACTTTTTAAAGTTGATATATTTAACATCATTCTTTGTAAAATATTGGATATGAAAAATACGAAAAGGGTATCCATTTTATTTAAACGCCATATTTATATTTCTACTTCATGTATTTTAAATTTCTGTTCTAAAATAATTTATCATAATTAACTTTTATTTTGTAAATAACTTCAAGTTATTTATGTTTTCTTCTTATCATCAATTTTTAAMATTGAAAAAATTGGTATGAAAAGATATCTATATCATAATGTAATGCTTCCTTAAGTATTTTAAATAAATTCATTATTAATAGTTTAAACTTGCCTCATTAATTTATAATTTTCCATTATTATAAAATTTAAGTATTTAAGTGAGGATAATGTTACTACCTTCTAAATTTAGTTTTATCAAATAATAATAATCAGTCCAATGTACATAAATCTCTATTTATACATTCCGAATTGTATTACAATAGTTTTAGTTTTACCTGCAGTAAGTATTAATATCTATCGCAATCATACAATATAATATACATTATACATATGTATGTATGTATATATATACATATAAATCGATCGAGTATGTATGGTATTTATCTTAATTTAGTATCTCATGGGGGCTTATGCATTGTAACACTTAGGCAAGTGTACATAATATAGTTTAGCTATGTGAGTGTGTACATTCAAGTGATTTTGGTGACTTTGCATAATCGTTATTTACCTACAAAAATTTTAATGGTGTGTATATTTTATATAGCTTTTAAATTATTATTGTAATAATTTAAGTGGTTGATTACGGTTTGTCTTTCATCTTAAACCAACTGCATAAGTACGTATATATAAATATATATTTTAGGTGAATGATTAACCTAACTTTAAATTCAGTTCATATACATTTTCAGATTACAATAAGAACAATATAAAGCTTAAAATATTTATGATTTCTTGATTTAAACATACATAATTACTTCTAGTTTTGAGAGTAAAAACAACATGGAACATTTTGTTAGGAAAAGCTATGTTTATAGGGTGTATAATGAATGTACTACAATTCGTGTATGAAATATTCATCAGTACCCAACTGAAAACAGTACTAATTTTATAATAATTGGAGCAACCGTATTTGTAGATACTAAATAGAAAATGTGTATAATATGGTAATTCAATTTGTATGGATAAACAAACAATATTATATATACGTATAGTCATGGTATCAATGGCGTATCATCTATCAATTTATCATTATAAGTTAAATATAAGTTTATAGGAGTACTTACAAGTTATTTATTAAACTATGATTATTATAAATTAACCTGTTTCAACCACTAAAAGTTGATGAACTATTTTTTACATAGTTATTGATATAGCTACTGTACCTAAGGTCCTACATGTAAAAAAAAAACAGACGGATTCAAAATAATACGTATTGAAGGATTCGTCTCGATTTACTTGATCTGGCACCAGTCATGGCATTTTCTATTCAAATAATTTATTGGATAACAATAATAAATTACTTAAATCTTAAAACGACTCTTTGATGGGTTATTAGTGTTTAAAAATGTTAAATGGCTATAATAAAATGGCAATCAAGTATTTTGAAATAATTCTATTACGTACACTATTGTAGAATAACGTTTTAGTACACATTGAGAATTCTGACTGTCTAAAAATTAAAACCAAAAGTAATCTCTATTTTTATTCTTTATTTAAATTAATATATATTTATTTTTTTTATATTCTTAGGTGTCACAAGAAAGCAGTCTGCTAAGATATGGTGTAGAAGACGACCCACTGGCGAAACTTCTGGATTCTCTACAAAAACCGGTGTTGAAAAAATAAACTATTAAGCTAACAATATATTCCTAGGCGTATAATCTCTAGCTATTTATAGATATTATACATAAGTAATACATTAAACTTTGAAGCACTCGTTCTACCAGAAAATATTACTATGTATAAAATATAATACGAAACGTTGTATTTGAAATGTTACTTTATACCTACAATGGTTCCATGTTGGGACGACTCGATTTTGATTTTGACGATAATCGTATATGTGTATTGCAACCGGTAGTTTTGCGCGGGATAATGGCTTCTGAAAACTGAACGAGGCCACGTAGGAGGTAAGTTCAAAAAAAAAACTTTCAAAAATGTAAAATAGTTTAAGATAATATTTGAGCACGTTTTAAATTTTAATACATGATAATATTATCATTATTAATTATTATTGTTGTTGTACACCGCGTGTACGGGGTGGACAAAATGACGGAAACACAATAATATTTCGGTATATTTTACTGTATTATATCATATTAATTATATTACGTTTGGCCAAAAGTATGTGAGCGGAAAAGGTCGGAAATCGTATATTATTATCGTAGCGTAAACACGCTCGGTAACGTCAGTGGCTGGAGTCGGCGGTGGCGAATCGCGCGTTATCGTACGCACCGAACGAAATTAAATCCTGTTCGCAGAGCACGCGACACGACACTGAATTCGCCAATGTATGCCCGTGGCGGTGTCGTCGGTGAAACGGACGAGCTGCGTTGGAGCAGGACGACCGTGGCGGCGGCGGCGGCGACGACGACGACGACGACGATTCCGACCCTGCCACCACTAGTAGGGTTGACTTGAACGGGTAGGTTTGTGTGTGCGTGTGGGTGTGTGGCGCTGCTTTTCGGTGGACATTTGCGCGATGATATCGCGCAAACTAGAAAACGATCGCAGCGATTCTAGCGAACCGTAAGACTTTACAGATTTCCGGCGGTATCGGCAGTGAATGCGGATGCAAGGGAACCGATGTATATAAGGTAGTATGTAAGACAGAAAGAGAAAGAGTGAGAGAGAGAAAAAGAAAAAATACGAGGGGAAAAAATACTGGTAATACCAGCATTTATTTCTCGTGCCCCCCCCCTCCACCAATCACCGCATACCGTTCGATTGCCTCCGCAAACTGAAATGCGAGTATATATATATATGCTGTATGGGGAGCACCTATATATATAGGACGATTATCTAAACAACGCGAAACTGTCGTACATTTTATCGTCGGTCGGATTTCTGTTTGAAATGCTATACATTTTCTGTTTAAATTATAATTTGTTTTATTGCAGTGAGATATTTCATGTATGTTTTTCCGAACGGAAATCTCCACGTTTCGAACTTCTCGTATTAAATACCAGAAAAAGGCAATGCACCCTCTATGGCTGGGTATATTATTATTGTAAATATCTAGTTGTACGTTGATTCATATTCAGTAGCAAAAGATGATTCAATTCTAATTTCTAACTACCCCATAAGATCCGCACCACCCATATCATAATTATTATATTGATATGATATTCAACACCCACAAAATAGACTAAAATAATACAGTACATAACCTTCTATTTTTCTGTAAATGGATTTATCACGTATATATCATAAATATTATTATTACATCATTAATTATCATATTATTATAATGTATGCAAACAATGAATGGTCAACTCTTGCTCATAGAATATTTGCGATGCCTATAATATACAAGTAAGTATGGTAAAATCATAAATTTTCATCTATAAGTTATGTTCACTCGATTTGAAATATTTTAATTCTTTTTTTTTTAAACGTAATGTATACGTAATTTTAAATTGTTTAGTATGGTTTTACACATCTCAAACTATATTATACATAAGTATACAAAATTATTTTTTCACGAAAATTTACCGTTAACATATAGTCACCCTGTAGGTATATTATCATATTAAAGTAGGTATATACGTGTTGTACGTTTACACATAGTATAGTACCACAAACATAAATTTATCATAATGTTCCGGAATACGCGCACACTACCCGCACCATTTGAAATAATCTCGAAAGGATTATAATTTCTGGATTACTACAACATGCCTACCGCAAGAGGATGAGCAGTGTGAGCTGGTATGTGGGCAATGTGTGAGTATGAAGAGGGGATAGTTGGTCTCGTGATATTACGATCGGTTCTCAACTTTACCAATATATATATAATAATATATACCCACCCATACCTGCTCTCGTTCCGCTGGAGAATTTGCCACGCGATAAATAACCGATAGCGCCTATTATACGTCGCAGTCAACACGGCAGTGGTCCATTTCGTAGGTACTACAGCTGAAGTCGAATATTGTTTTTTTCATATGGTATAATCTTTTTTTCTATTTTCTCCCTCCCATAAAATTTTATACAGTTTAACGCGGATGCGATTCAAATGTAAGTTTTATGCGTGCACGTATAACTATATATATTTAACCATATTATACCTAACTCGTTTATAGTAACGACCGGCGTTAGATTTGACTTGGTATAATATGCCCATGTCATTAAAATCTAGTAAAGTTTTGGCCCTAGTTGTATTATTATATTATTATTATTTTATCATCATCACCGATAAGTTCAAAAGTTAGTATTAAATGTGCTGATGCTGTAATTTATTGAGCATCCAGGGCTATAATAATTGAGGACTCAGGACAACATAATTTACTTTTGCCCAAAAACAATATTTCTTTTAACAAGTTTAATGGGTATTGCATTTTCTAGGAAATTCTAAAAACTACTCGGCTAAATAAGTATTTGTAATAATCAATCTAGACGGCTTTTGAAGAATGACGTTTTTTAAAATTATATCCCAAGTTATTTCAATCAGAATTTAAATTAAATAATTCATTATTGTATACTATATGATATATATTAATAGAAAAATAAAAATAATTATTATTTTTTATATATCCTATATAGGTACATAAACTAGTATAAAAATAATGAAATGTACCTATTGACAATTTACTGTTAGTACTATTTCATTTAAATGGATGTTTTAGCAAGAAGTTGAATAATATGTATAGTTAAAAAAACTTAAAAGTATAATAAATCATATATGTATAGAACATACAATACCATTATGACGAAATGCTTTATAAGTCTCAAAAAAAATTTCATTGCTGGTTGGGTGTGATAAATTTAATTTTAGTGCCAATAGAGCAACTGCAGTCAGTGTGTTACATCGCTACAGATAATTACAAAAATCGTTAAAAAATAATTTGTTAGTGTTTTAACTATAACTTCTGTTAATATTAGTGTAAACCTATAAAAATTATTTAAAAAATAAAATGGCAAGTTTATATTATAGTATTATTTCTACTTGTGTTATTGACTATAATTACATTAACTAAGTGTATATATGTTTTTATATAATTTTTTTTATTAGAATAATGCAATCGATAACTATGGATTCACTACGCATGTTATAAATTATAATTGGCATAAGTCAAAATTCATGAGCGGAGTTGGATGCATCTATCACAATCGTGAGGTATTTATCAACATTTTTTGCTTAAAATACAATCTATGAACAACCTATAAATTATAGTCATAAATACCATAAACCATCATAGTTATGGTTTTTCTGCTGGTATGCTTAAAATTGTACCTAAAATATTTTAAATCAAGTATTATTATGTACGTTTTTGAAGAAGAACTATATTTCTAATTTATAAATATGAACCTCTATTCATAATTTAATTCTATTCGTTATTTTTTGAAATAGTATATAAATATTTTATAATATAAATTGTTGAGTATTTATATTTTTTTTATAACTTTTTAATTAATACAGTGTTCAAAAAAAAAAAAAAATAAAAAAATATTAACCATAAACTTACAGATATAGTAGCTGTACTTAAAATACATTTATTTAAATTGTTCCCAAAATGTTCAGTCATATTGAGTTTTAATGACACCAAATGCCAAACACTAATAAAAAACAACCATTACATATATATGATATACATATATATATATATATATATATATATATATTATTTTTTGCCAACTGGATGAATGCCCGACCGAGGCAGAGCCGCAGAGGTCGACATTTGGCATTGATGCGAAGCTTTTAATTTGTTTTATTACGACATCTCTGGTCCATCTAAACAAACATAATACGTATATAGCCAAAGGTACCTTATATATTTAACATTTTATTTAACTGAGCTCGGAACACTATAAGACATTATTGGTTTTTCCTTTATTAATTATACGGCTAATAAAAATTATCATAGAAGACAATAATTTATCAAACTGTACGTGTTTTTTTATAGACATTATACCTACTTATTCTTAAAATATGTATTTTAAACACAACAAGTAATTGTAAATTTTGCGGAATCGTGTTGATTTTAATAGACACTGATATACATACACGACTCCGCAAATTTAATATATATGTATACGATTCCACATAATTTTAAATGCAACGTTGCCAAATATACAATTAATTACTCTTGTTATATAAATTGTAATTTTTTTTTATAGTTAAGTATACTATATTTTTTAATATAGCCAAAAAAAATTATAAACATTTTTATATGATTTTAAATAATAATGAGTATAACAATTTTAAAAATATATGTAATATGAATTATAATGATTTATCTTGATAAGTATGGCCAGTTAGTGATAAATAATATAATAAATGATCTTGGGATTTATAAGATTTATACTTATCATATGCCCTAATAATAGTTTCAATGCGTTCTGTTTCTCTAAGAGTCATTTTCTTTTTTTCATTTTTAGAAATAATTGAATATATTTTTACATCTGTTTCGGACTGTGTTTCTAATAAGACTGTCAGCACTGAATAAATGGGCGGATGTGAGTAAAATTGGCCATTGTATGTTCGATGAAAACTTTCGGCTGCATTTGTTGTTCTGTGATAACATTATAATAATATTATAAAAATTATACAGTTTAAATAATAATTATAGAACCTACCTTGGATTTTTTTATGGTTCTTCAGCCCAAATTAGTGGTGGAAAAGGAYAGTCTTTGTCAATATAATTTTTTAAAACATAATCAGAAAATACAAGTTGTAAATTAAATTTAAACTAAAATCATGTTTTCTGAATGTACATAATAATATATTTTTTTTTTATAATCGATTATTGCGCTTACGCTGTCATAAGTGTAGTCCAAATTTCTTATTCATATTATATTTATATAAGAAACGTATTATAATCTAATCTTATATTAATGACATGAACATTATCTTATCGTATAATAATATAGCTGAAACAAACTCATATACGTTTAATTCCTTATGTTGCGGAAACTGATCAAAAAAACGTCATTTTAACGCGCGTACCGGGTGCCACCGTCGTATGCGTACCGCGCGCCAAAATCACTCAATAGTGTGGCTYGGYCTTTAAAATAATATAGATTTTGTTTTCGGAATGGCAACGTTGCATTTAAAATTATACGGAATCGTATATATACATATTAAATTTGCGGAATCGTGTATGTATATCAGTGGCTATTAAAATCAACACGATTCCGCAAATATTGCTGAATCGTTCTTCACCGAGAATAACTATAGACACAAAGCATAATAAACAACATGACATTAATGTGTAAAATGATAAAACCATCTATTGATAAAATCCTTCGAGACAGATTACAGTTTGAAACAAAGTATAATTATACCTACGTATCCGTATTTCAATTGTGTTTTTATAAAAATATGCATTTTGGATTTATTATTTTTTTTTTCAGGAATCCAGCCTGTCAACAGTTAGTAACGCATCTGCAGTGAATTCGAAACCTAGATCGCACTCAATAAATTACGTATCATCGGAATATGAAGTGAGATTTTAACCATTGCGTATAATTTATCTGGAATTATATTATGACCTTAGTAGAATTATTTAAAAATACAATAAAATATATTATGTTTTCAGAGTTTAGATTACGATCATTACGAAAGTGAAMTTACCGTTAGAGAAGAAAAATTAAACGGTTATAAGACAGTAGTGGCGAGTAATGTGATTAGATGGCTTATTTATTTTTCAATTGCCATATGCATTGCAGCAGTCGGAATTTTTATTGATACTGTAATTGAATATTTCTGTGATTGGAAGTTTCAATTGATACGATATTGTATTGATGTTAAGTACTCGACGGTAGAGTGTCTGATTATTTGGATACTTTTCACCGTCATCCCTACGACTGTTGGATGCTGTGTAGTGCTATTTATGGAGGTTAATAGTGTTTATACCTAATATAAAATTATGTATAATAGTTTGTATAACGTTATGGTAGTTAATATAAATATTCAAAACAATTGTAGCAGTAACTTCAAATATACTAATCTTGGTAGAGTACTAAAATACCCATTAAATAGTTGCTCGACATTTTCTAGAAACTATGTTTCAAACTATTTTGCTTTGAAACAAATTGATTAACAATAAACTATTTATAAAAAAAAAAAAAATGTTTTGAGCATTGTAAGTTTTATAAATTCGGTACATTTTAAATTAATATTTTTATTTTACTAATAGGTGCACTAATGCAAAAACTAAATAAATTATAAATTATAATCAATGCAGGATATGATTAACCACAATTTCATATTAACTGTACATTTTATACATATTTTTTTGATAAGCATCAGATATATTTGAGTTATTTTTCTCTACAGACAACAGATACATATTTTGAATAACACAAAATCGGTGAAAAAAATTCTTTAAATTATTTTATTTTTTCATAATCATACGATATAAAAAATAAAAATTTTTTAATATTTTCAACTGATATAAAATTCATATTTTCCATTTATCAATAATATGTTGTATATTTTATTCTGTATTGTAATAGTTGATATTCTATTGTTATATATAATTTAGCCTTCTGCTGCTGGAAGTGGTATTCCATTTGTAATATCTTATTTAAACGGAATTCGTATACCGAGAATGACGGCCGTTCGATGTTTATTGGTAAAAGTAATAAGTGTGGTGTGCGTCTGCATAGCAGGTCTTGGTGGAGGAAAGGTATCTTGTATATTTTGTTATAATAACATTGTTAATAATAATACATTTTGTTATTTGATTCATTTTGATTTTTATAATCAATAATCATAAAAGATTTTGTAAATTAGGCAGAGAAACTTATTTACTTATAATGTCATTAATCAAAGTTTACAGACAAAAAAATATTTTTCATCATATAATTTTATATAAAAACCCGTGATTACTATTATCACATTTTATTTAGGGTTTTTATTAACCTAGTGTAAAAATTTAAAAATAAATAAATAATTATAATAACAAAATATATGTTCCTACGTATTTAAAGACTTAAAAAAAACATATAATTTTATAACGTCAATAATAATGTTTGTACACCTTTTATATATTTAAAATTAGATTTATATTTATACACATTAAGCACGTTTATTGGATACTTGTTATTGAAAAAGTATCAATTTTTCAGGAAGGACCATTGATTCACATTGGTGCAATGGTTGGTGGTTCAGTCGTTGAAGCTTGGTGGAAAGGTCTAAGAAACGGCCCTGGTCGGAAAATCATTGGACCCTTACAAAATGATCGAGAAAGGAGAGACATGATGGCAGCAGGTGCTGCTGCAGGATTATCCGCCGCTTTTGGATCGCCTGTAGGTAAATATATATTTTTAGTTTTTCAAAAAGTATTATAATTTATTATCGAAAATATATCCTTATAGCATAGGTACACGGTACACTATATTATTGTATTATATTTACAACACAATTGTATTAATTCTATACCAACCAAAATTAGTAACACACTTTCAATAATTAATGAAAACATTTATAAATTACAATTCAGTATTTTTATGACACTAGCACTAATTTAATAATTGGATACCACAAACAAAAGTTGCAGTTAAGTTTTAAATGTTTGACAAAAGTCGGAAACATGCTTAAAAATTAGTGTAGTGCGTATTCCAGGGGTACGCTTTACCACTTGTCTTAACTCAAAATACTTGAAAATAAAAAATTATACTTTGATTTGATGGAAGAAAAATGTGCTTCAGAATACGAAATTAAAAATATTCTTTGTCATAAAAACAGAAAAAAATCGTTGTACTCTAATATAACATAATATATTTTATTATTTTAAACTCGATTTTAAATACAAGATCAAAATGCATTGTTGAAAACAATAAACTTTACTTTTATTACACGGTGGCTTATCTAGTCATATCTATGAACTCTTGTGCAAAGAATTTTTAGATTACAGGTCAAACCAAACTTTAAGTTAATTATCTTGTAAGAAATTACGAAGATAATATATAAAATAAAAATAGATGATAAAATATAACTTATAAGTATAAAATAATATAATTTAATGAATGGAAATTATTTACTAAATACGAAAGTACATTATTTCAATATCAATATCATTTATAGTATTTTAAAAAATAAATCAATCAATTTAAACGAAAAATGAAATTTAAAAAAAAAAAAAAACGAAATGGCTAAAAGATAAACTATAACATTTACGGGGTTTCATATATTTCTAAATTTTCTAAAATAGGAATTTTTGTATTTATTAGTTGTTGTTTTTTAGGAGGAACATTAATGAGTCTTGAAGAAGGAACAAGTTTTTGGAGCTCAAGTCTCATGTGGAAAGTATTTTTCTGTGCAGCAATTGCTTTTCCAACATATAACGCTGGTAAAAACGTACTGTTTACTAATAATACAAGTGAGCTTTCTTATACTACACAAATCTGCTATGTTCCTCATAATAAAAAATTTAATATACTTACACTTTTCTATAGATCCATCAGAATCTGTTCACAGCAAAAGTATTTACTTTTTTGGGAAGTTTAATGAAAATACAATTTATTTTTCTTATTCAGAATTCCCCATTTTTATTATATTTGGGATATTCGGTGGTTTACTTGGAGCTTTATTCGTCAATATTAATTATCGTTTATCCATTTTTAGAATGAAGTTCGTTTTTCTAAATTTATTTATTTGAACAAGTTATTAAATGATTTATTTTAATAAGCGTTACGTTTTATTTATTTAGACACATTATATCCAATAGAAAAAAACTTCTGGAATCAGTATTCGTCGCAGTGTTTGTTGCAATAATTAATTTAACATCCATGATTTTGTTTAGCAACTGCCAAACAAAACTAGAGATAAGCTCGTCGAATGTAGTACAAGTAAGAATTATGGTAAAAATAATCTAATAGGATAATAAGTTAAACGTGTTATTATCTTTTTTTTTTTATTAACTAAATAACATTTACAATCTGTACATAATAAAATACAATAAGCAAATGTTTACAATTATGTTTACAATTATAATAGTGACTTTGGATACATGAGAAGRGAAGCTMTCCAGTGATAGGACCCTTTTGAGTTGAGACGTTTAGGACATGGAGTGGTGTTTCAGTTTAGGAGGTCGTGACACCAACGTCTTTTGAGGCGACGAGGGGGGTTACCTGGAATTGTGGCTGAGTGTTGATTTGCAATCAGAGGATTTGGATGATGAAGTAATTTGGAATGMAACTTTTTGTAGTGRGTTTTAACTAAGTTCTCAACTGTTTCAATGTTTAAGTCTTTATGTAGGGTGTGGTTAAAAACAAACCAAGGAGCTGACGTTATTGTGCGGAGGGAAATGGACTGAAATKCTTCGATTRTTTTAATTTGGGTTGGTTTTGCACAACCCCATATTTGGGCTCCATAAGACCAGATTGGTCTTAACAATGATTTGTAAATTTTTATTTTATTATGGATTGGGAGTTTGGATTTTAGCATAGGACGTAGTAAGTGAAATCTTGAATTGAGAGATTTTCTTTTGGATTTAAGGTGAGGACCCCAAGTTAGTCTTTTGTCTAAAACTATTCCTAGGTATTTTACTTGAGCCAAAGAGGGGATGGGAACTCTCTGAAATAAATAATCTTTTTAAATTATTTTTTCTCACTGTCTAACATTATGTGCATTGTTAGTTAATACTATACTTTTTTTCAATGCATATAAAATTAGTTTATACAGTCATACATTTACAGACTTACAATAATTAATAATTAACAATTTTACATTGCAAACAACTAGATATATCGTATAAGAACTGAAAATTATAATCTCCACAATGTTTGTACCGAAAAGCTTGAGTTTGAATGACTTTACATATTATTGTATTTACATATTATAAATGTAAACTTAACTGGAATATTAATATTTTATTCAAAATCTTAAGTTCAATTATTTTGTTTTAAAAGTATTGACACATTATCATTCACAAAAAGTTTGTTATAATGTTAAATGTTAATTATAAAACGTATACGTTTGAAAGAATTTTAACTACATTAGTGATAAATTGATTTCAATTAAAAATAATTTAAAAAAAGCGGGTAAGTCATGGATGTCGCTCTGCTGTACAGTAGATTACTGTAATGGATGGAATTAAATTTGAATCCAATGATATTATATCATTGTATATGAAAAACGATTCTGAGCGGAAACGGTTTATCAGCTGTCTAGGATATACAGAGTGTCCCAAAGAGATCTGACATTCTGATAAATGAAATAACTTTTGTTCTAATCAATATTTTTTAAAAATTTCTTTTAAATATAATCCATAGACACATGCGATACATTTTTAGAATACATTTTTTATTTTTTAATACTGAAAATAAAAAATTTAAAAATTGATAAATTTTTTTTGAAATATTCAATATAGCCAATTTGTAAATTTGATTTTTAGAAAAATTTATATGGCAAAAACATTTATTTAAGTCAAAAGGCTGATTTTTTACAATTTTTTCAAATATCAATATTTTCGTTAGGTAAGTTATAGTAATTTATAATTTATTATCATAATTATAATTTATTTACATCACATCTCGTATTATTAAAATAAATACAATAAAAAAAATGATTAAATTTTAACATGCACTTATTTAAAAATGTTCTTATAAAATATTTTAAAAAAACTTTATTATTATTTGAAA